CGCATGCGCGTCAGGACGAGCCGAGTGACGGTCCCTCTTTGATGAGTGTCGTGAGGGTGTTATCTTGCCGAAGAGGTGAGGGCGGCTTGTCTGGAGCAGAGAGGGCTTTTTGAGCCTTGATCTTAATTAGACAAAGATCAAGGGATGGGTGTTTTTTTAGTTTTTTTTTTTTATCTTATGTAGAGTTTGGCTTTCATTGTTAATCTAATTTTTCTTGTTCGTTGATTCTTTCGTTCTCTCTATCTATCTCTCCCCACCCCTCATTTCTTTCTTTCTCTACTCTCCTCTCTCTCTCTCTCTCTCTCTCTCTGCTCTCTCTCTCTCTCTCTCTCTCCTCTCTCTCTTCTTCTCTCTCTCTCTCTCTTCTCTGCTCTACTCTCTGTCTCTCTCTCTCTCTGTCCTCTCTCTCTCTGTCCTCTCTCTCTCTCTTCTCTCTTCCTCTCTCTTCTCTCTCTGTCTCTCGTCTCTCTCTCTCTCTCTCTCTCTCTCTCTCTCTCTCTCTCTCTTTCTCTCTTTCTCTCTCTCTCTCTCTCTCTCTCTCTCTCTCTCTCTCTCTCTCTCTCTCCTCTCTCTTCTCTCTCTCGTCTTCTCTCTCTCTCTCTCTCTCTCTCTCCCTCTCTCTTCTCCCCCCCCCTCTCTCTCTATCTATGCTCTCTCTCTATCTATCTCTATCTCTATCTCTATCTCTATCTCTATCTCTATTCTATCTCTATCTCTCTATCTCTCTATCTCTCTCTCTCTCTCTCTCTCTCTCTCTCTCTCTCTCTCTCTCTCTCTCTCTCTCTCTTCTCTCTCCTCTCTCTCTCTCTCTCTCTCTCTCTCTCTCCCCTCTCTCTCCCCCTCTCCCCCCCTCTCTCTCTCTCTCTCTCTCTCTATCTCTATCTCTATCTCTATCTCTATCTCTATCTCTATCTCTATCTCTATCTCTATCTCTCTCTCTCTCTCTCTCTCTCTCTCTCTCTCTCTCTCTCTCTCTCTCTCTCTCTCCTCTCTCTCTCTCTCTCTCTCTCTCTCTCTCTCTCTCTCTCTCTCTCTCTCTCCTCTCTCTCTCTCTCTCTCTCTCTCTCTCTCTCTCTCTCTCTCTCTCTCTTCTTAACCTCCATCTTGATTTGTATATTGCTGTGTGGATATTTACTGAGGATGCATTATCACTTTTAAGGGAATATATTTCATTTCTAAATTAAAAAGTACACATATACCAGAAGATAATGGACATAATGCAATGGTACAGTAATAGTAGGACAAGTCAGATTATATCCCGCCTCCTTCACCAAGAACTGAACCTCTGGATCTGCTCTGTGTTTACATGTGTGACGTCACAAATGGCTGACACGATTAAACTCTCGTTGATGCGTACTTTCCCGGGCCGGTTTTTGTGCTGCTCTGTGCCACGGACAATGCACTCGTGAACGGTACGGGGCACACTGGGTACGAGCTCTGTACGATATTTGTGCGATGAGGATTAGAAGAAAATGCATCTATATCTCCAGCCTTTGGTGAGATATGACCTACTTTTTCTACTGTTGCACCGATGCGATCTACCAGTCTAAGATTCGAATATACTCCATAAATGGAACTTTAACTCTGCAACATCATTATAAATATGGATATAACTTATTCCCAGAAAAGAAAAATAATAATCCAAGTATCATGAGTACTTGGATATGCAATTGTATTTGCATGACAACTTCTGAAGGACGAATCATTAAGAGGCACAGTAGCGTGATCGACTTAAAACAGGCTTGTGTTCGACTGGTTGGCCATCCGTGACTTATAGAGGTCACATCTGATTTTTTTCTTTACAGGAGTTTCAGATACGTGTTAGGGCAAGGCAGCCAGGTCAAATTAGCATATTCTAGCTATGGAAGAATTGACGTCTTGTACAGCATCGAAATATCTCGGGCAACCAGGTGCTGGCGCAGGAAAGGATTTTCCTTCACCCAAGCATTGTATCTATTTCTTTCTTTTCTTTTCTTTTCTTTTCTTTTGGTGTGTGTGCGCGCATGTGTGTGTGTGTGTGTGTGTGTGTCTGTGTGCGGGTGTGTGTGTGTGTGTAAGACGTTTCACATAGGCCGTCCAGAGTTGAAATTACCTGCATCTTAGACTTCTGGGATGCAAGGAAGACAGTCGGGAGCGAATTCAATTTCCTTCGCAATGCGCTCAAAACCCTGGTTCCCCCGCGCGGTCCATCCTCGCGCAAGGGAAGCAT